TCCCAGGGAAACCGGTGGTTTTCCGGCACAGACCGTGCTCCTCGGACCCACTGACAAGACATTTCTCAAAGAAAGATGGTCAGCTAGGCGACCGGGGCCTCCCAGCAAAGAGTGGGTGGAATTCTGCGGCTCACCGGCACCTTAGGGGGCGAGTGAGAGGGGAGATGCAGGTTCCCTTCTCCCTCTCTGGTGTGATGGACCACGCATGGTCGTTTGGAGCCTTCGGCCGCGCTTCTTAAATAACACTCCCAATACACGATATACTCTCCAGCCCGCCCACGCCAAACATGACGGGAATGCATGCAGAAACATGTGAGACTCATGGAACACAGGGGGAAAAAGGAGGTCACTGGAGAACACAGGGCCACATAAAGAGCAAGAGAACCCACAATCCTCTTCTATGCAGTTCCAGGCTTCCTCCCAGCAGAAGAAGAGTTCTGAGTACCACAGCTGACTGCTGCTTCTCTCAAAGCATGGCAGACCGAATGCTGATCAAAGGACTCGAATGATTGTATTTGCTACTTTCTTACAGAAGTACAGTTTATTTATTATTTACGAGCGCAAGATCTCTGGTTCGCACAGCCGGGCAGGTTAAGGCGTGTATGTGATCTAGCATCTGAGGATCCATGCATACCTCTTTCCAGCCTGAGAAGGGACCTGCTGTGTTCCTGAACTGAACGTTTTCAAGGCGTTCAGCGGTCTGTGCATCTTCATTCATCAATCGCTTACTTGAGTGCTCATTAACAGACTTCTCCGGATCGCGACCAGTGTTATGGCATGGCTGAAGTGAATCACCCCCACCAATAGCACCATGCTTCCCTTGTGATTTTCCCTGACCCTCCACTCCATTCTCGGCCGATACAATCTTTGCACCGCTTCGAGGGACGTTTTCTCCAGCCCCCACCTCACAGGACAATGATAATGCATCGTGAGAAGTGCCTCTGACATTATCCTTGCTTGCGAGTGCATCCCTCTCTGCATCACAGAATGAGTCAGAATTCCTCCCCAAGTGCTTACCTCCGAACCCATCATCAATTTCCATGCAGCTGCGCAACTTCTCCACAACTCTGATTACTCTCTCAATAGTTGAACCATCCACCTCTTTAATTTTTGTTACCCCCACCTCCTGAACCGTGCGCCGTTCATTTGGCAACCCCGAATGAGCCCTACCAGGGCTGTCCAGCCCTTCATTGAGTCTTTTCAACAGAACCTTTTCAAAAACCTGCACGGCCTTCTCCAATTCCAAGTTGCAATCCGCAGCTTCGCCAACGTCCTCATCCACACATCGAGAATCAGCACATCCACGTTGCAGCTTTTTACCAGCGTCGTGTCTCTCACCCAAGTCATCAACTGCCGAAGACCTTTGTCCATCATCGTTCAGCCGAATTTCTCCCAACATTTTCCAACCGTCCTCAATCTTCTCCGTCTCCTAGAAATGTCCCCACAATGCAGCACACAAGAAACAAACATAGAGCGACAGACCATATGGTCAGTTCGAATTGTGATTAACTTCACGCTCTTTCCCAAGTATTCGACAGCTTGCGAACATCCATCCCTACAGCACAAGCGGTTTCTGGGACAATCTCCACACAACTGCCCCACACACAAACATGCACCGTCTTACAGTACATCGTTACATGCCAAGCCAGGTTCTCCTCTCTACCGCCCTCCACAGAACATTTTGTTCATTTGGTCAAATACAACCTACCAAGATCCGCATGTATCTGCAATGACAGAGATGGTCGTGGACTGTGAGAAACGGCGCTTTTTTCTGAGAAACCATCGCTTTCAGATCTGTTTTACTGAGATTTCTGCTTCCAAGCATTTTTGGCTTGCTCTTGGACGAACGTATCCGGTCTGATACGTCCTAAGTGGCTGTTTGCTAACTCTGTGCTTGTCCTGCGGTTCTCTGTCTCGGGAAAGAACAGGGAAAAAAAAAGAATTGTAAATACCTGGGCCGGCGGCCTAGCTCAGTTGGTAGAGCACGAAAATGACATTCAGGAGGTCGTGGGTTCAATTCCCTACGGTCTTCATTCGAGCCCCCACAGCCTCGCTACGGGCTCACCAGCGGAGTTAGTCGGCTTGCGCCCCCCCTGGTAGGGCTTGGTAGGGTTTGCTTTGCCCTCCCATCCATTCAGTGCCAACCCATAACTCTTAGGGGCTCCCCAGCTTGTGTGCGTGGATACACGACGCTAGGTAGAGTGAGGTATATGAGTGAAGAATATAGCTTAGTTTTGAAAGAAAAAAAAAAAAAAGAGAATTGTAAATACCTGTACGAACACGGACAAGACTGAAATTTGGCAGCAGGGTTTGTATGGGCAAGTCTGGGACCGACAAGGGCACGCAGGAAAGTTGGATAAGGGCAGGTATACTGACGGTATCAAGCTGAGGCTAGGTTCGATTTAGGTCTACTTTCGTAGGGTATCAGGGTACTTACAGTCCGCAATGATGTCGGTCTAGTAGCAACCCATGCAGGCCCACTCGTACCCCGGTGGAGCACTTGGCCACGGGACTGATGGGCCCGGCACAGATATCAGTGAGTGTGCCAGTTCAGGTGGGACATTCACCCAACACTCATGCTGCTGTTGCACGAAGAGGGAGAAGTGGTGGAACACAAGGGAGTTGTGGGAGAACCTACAGGGGGAAGGAGGTAAAAAGGGAGGAAGAGAGTAGAGTTAGGCTTTGGTGGAGTGAGAACACACCCACATTCGGCTACGGAGTCAAGTGCACAGCTTCAGTAGGTGAAAAGGAGGAGTAAGCAGAAGGGAACCAGCATGGAGACTTACTTTAGGCTACGGCCGACTGCAATCTCCACTGCACTAATTAGCACTCACAATGACAAGCACGCTACAGACTGCCAAATCTCCATTTTATGAGAAACGTTGTTGTCTTTGATCCGTCTGCAGAGATTTCAAATTCTGTGTTTTATTCTGCGTTTGTGTCCCTCCTCTGAGGGTCTCGACTGGACAGAGATTTCATCCGAGAGTGAGACCTGGAGGTCAGAGAGTGGGGAGAGTACTTGGTGTACTGTCCAGTGCACGTCCTGTTTGAGTAGCAGGATACTGGTTGGAGGGAGGAGGTAGAAGAGCTGAAGGGAGGTTCTTCGTGGCATACTCAGATCCACACGGGCCCGCAAGGCCCGACAGTAGGGTTAGAGGTTTCGTAGGGCTTAGGGTCTGTGTCACCCGTAGTAGCTCTGAGGTAGTAGTGAGTAGTTTTCAGTACTTGACGCGCTGGGCACAGTTAGAGTAGTCTACAGCGCTGGGCGTGAGCTAGGAGTTGGAGCACTGCGCTGCACTGCAGCGAGAGACAGAGTGAGAGAGACGGGCCGAGGCCAGGAGGACTTACCTACGACTTACCTGCGAGCTTCGTCTTCGGAACGTCCACACCTGCATCAAGGCAGCACCTTTCTGCAGGTTATGTGGCATGCATGCACAGAGAGAGAGAGAGAGAGAGAGAGAGAGAGAGAGAGAGAGAGAGAGAGAGAGAGAGAGAGAG